TTCCCCCGTAAATATGGCTGAGTCATCATATGATATTCAAAGAATAACCTTTCCAGTGAATAGAGCTAAGAGTAAAACCTGTATCTACCACCTTGAATCTAAGAACTCAGTCCCTATGCTATACTGTCTCCTGGGGAATGAGATAGGAAAGGAGTGAGAGGAAAGAAATAAGGGAGGGAGGGTGGAAGAGAAGAAAAGAAAACAAGAGGTAACGGAAAGAAAAAAGAAAAAAAAAAAGGAAAGTTAAAAATGGTGATAAAAGTTGTCAAGTACTACACATTCGACCAAAATAACCCCTCCTATATACAATGTATTATGCATTGGAAAAGAATATGAGGTTATTTGGGGTCCAAGGTACAAACAGGAAGTATTTCCAAGGAATTTCTAAGTTCACTTGAGACTAATATATAGGGATTTGGATGAATCCTTCCATGAGGATGAAAAGGTGGGTAAAAATGTTTAGAATGGGAAAATCTGAGGGAAGAAAAGATTTGACGATAACACGTATGTTGATGTGCTTGATTAAGCCAATATACAGTGTATTCTGGATGGGAAATCTCATTTTGTTTGCTGTGATGATGTATAGTGAATGAATGTAAATTAATAAATTTAAATTAAAAAAAAAAGAAGTGGCAGAATCAAATGTCTGAGCTGTTAGATGATTCATCAGGCCTTCTAGCCACATTTTGAGAAACTAGTTGTGTATGTTTCTCAGTGCACCCCTATGTTGGTCAGACATCATCCTGGTAGTCTATTCCTCTAGGCACATTCTCCCTACACATAGAGGCCTCTTCCATAGAGGAGTAAGTGGAATAAAGACAAATCTGCTTTTGGATTTGGCCACTGCTTATTAGGAAAACCAACTGTGAGAGCTGTGAAGAAGTAGCTGAAGACTCACTTAGGACTTAGCAAGAGAGAAGTTTTTTAAGAGGTTTTTGTTATAGGGCATGTGCGTTCACCAGAAAGACAGAGAGAGACAGAGAGACAGAAAGTGAGAAATCATCCCCCTCCCCCAAAGGGGGGCATACAATTCCTTCTCCTCCCTTCTCCTCTCGGGATCTTGGGCACACACGCACACGCTCCTAGCATGAGTTTAAGCCACTGGGTCCAGGACTTGAACCGCAGTCAACTACATGGGAGTCCAGTGACATAGCCATTATGCCAACTGCTGACCCGAGAGAAGATTTTAAAAGATCCAAATCACTCAGAGATGTAACAGCTACAAGAAAACAAGCCATGAGATAATAAAGGTATTGGGAAGACCTTCCTACATGGCAGTGGAATTGATGGTAGATTTATTTCCCATTGGATTGACTGATTAGACACACAATTATAGGGCTTTGGAAATAATCCTGTGGTTAGAGGGGTTTTTATTTAATTCTTTTTAGGGAGTATGATTTAATTTTTTTTTTGAGAGAGAGATTTTTGCTATAGGGCACGTGCACTTGCTGGAGAGACAGAGAGAGACAGAAAGATAAAAAGAGAGAAATCAACCCCAGGGGGATGGCCATGGCACAATCCCTTCTCCCCCATTCTCCTCCTGAGATCTTGGGCATGCATGCACATGGGCCCTGTGTGAGTTTAAGCCACTGGGTCCAGGACTCCAACCGCCCTTGACTATGTGGAAGTCCAATTACATAACTATTATGTCATCTGTTGGTCCCAGAAAGTATTCAAAATTTAAAATCAGCTTTGTCCTGCAAAAATGGTAGAAAATAAAATAAGATCTGGGAATTGCTATTGAACTTTGCTGTTCTAAACAAGTTGGGATGCACTTTTCTCAGTGACTCTGTGACAACACAAGAGAACTACATATATGGTAACTAAGAGCTCCTTATGTGTCTTTGATGATGGAGAGTTGAGATTTCAAGTAGAACCAGCTTGGAGACAATCTGTGTTCAGTCAAATTCTTTCCACCCTCCCCAAAATGTCTGTCTTTATTTGCATAGACTAGGCCACTGTTCCTGTCTCATTTTTTAAAAATGACTATGGGTTTTTAAGACTTTCACATCTACCCACCCAATCACTTTCTTGTACAGTCCGAAAACATCAATAATGCATTAGTTTGAGGGGGTTATTTTTCAGGTCCATAATATTTCTTCTTTTTTTTTTTTTAAGGGAAAAATTCCAAGGGACATTCCACTGAGAAATGAAAGGGTTAGCTCACTAGATCCAGAAAACCAACACTCACATCTTGAAATGCTCTAGATGTTAAAGAAAATGAAGTGTGAACTTCTGTGGGCAGACAGAGGGGAGGTGCTATACATTTACAATGACCCGACCAGTTGTTTTGATACAAAGAACAGAGAGGTTTTACAACCAGTCTCTACGTTCACTAGGACTCGGTGACAAGTAGAAAGGTAAACTGAGTAAATCACAGGGCCAATATCCTCAGCTGTGAATCAGCGACCCTTAGTAGAGGCATTTATGCTAATGATCTAGAGGCCCACATGTTGGCCACCATTCAACAGATTCCTTTTCCTTAGAAATGACAGGATGCCACAGCAACTGCTAACAACCACTCCATCAGTGGGGAAGGCTTTGTGTCAATTTCTTCTAAATTTATTTTTTCCAGTATGAGGAAAGGTTAAACTCTCTCCTAGAATACTTAAAAACTAAGTCTTCCTGTCTGTGGCCTACAGTTTGAGGAACCATCACCAGTGCCATTTCTTTCACACTTGAAATTTCCCAAACATGTAGACACGTGCACATACACCCACATTTTGCTCTCTCTCTTAGCCACTTTGTAAATATGCTGCTTTCATCTTTGATCTTAATTCCAGCATGACATAGATTTTCTAAAAAATGACTTCTTAAATCGACAGCAATTTTTTTTAATGGTTAAAAATCTCCAAATAATGATGAGTACCTAGTTCTTTTCTTTTGAGAACTTAAGTCATTTAATGGGAATGATTTTTTTTTTTTTTAACTTTTATGGCCAGGTGGCTCTAGGGGATATTTTGTTGAACACTGATTAAAAATAATTTCTTCTAAATGAGACCTGACCACAAAATGGAACCATTAATGGGCAGGGACGTTGTCACCAAAGCGGAAACCATGGTTGATTGCTTCTTGCACCTCCCACCACACAAGCATTTTCTTCTTTTTCTTCTCCTTTTCTTATTCTTAATAGCACAGTAAATAAGCAGCCAGCAAGGCCTAAATGTTTTCGGCCAAAAACAGAGTCCAAACTCCTCAGAGAAAACATTTGGCCTCTGTGGTTTTGTAATATGTTCCAGAACACCGAGTTCAGTGAGGAACATTGTGAAAAACTCCCATCCATTGGAATGATGGTGGGGAATGTTACAGTATCAGGAGTTTCAATTGGTCCTTTTCCTGCAGGCCCATAATGAGGCTTGTAAAAAAAAAAAAAAATAGTGCTATGTGGAAGTTCTCATGGGAAAAATGAATGGCAAGAAATCCTAGCTTTAAAAGAAACAGCTAATCTGCTAGTTTGATTGTTCTTCAAAACTTACGCTGAACCAATGAGCCTAATTAAAAACACTTGGCCTACTTCTATAAAGCATCATAGCTTTCTCTATGCTTCGTTTGTATACACCACAAAACTCCAGATAGACTATTATTTTTTCAAGTGCTCACCAACAAAGTGCTGACTTTGTTGGGATGGCTGAGCTAATTTCTTGAACTCAGTGTGAAACCTTAGCTAAACAAAATTGTGGTAATTTTCCTTAATTTGTAAAAGTGATTGGAGTGCAAACAAAATTTTCCTCTTGGGTCAATCCTATAATTTTCAATTAACTAAAACTAATCGTCAGGCAGGCACCAAACCTGCATTTTGTTTAAAGGGCTGGGAGGCATTTCCAAGGGTCAGAATACATTAATTGTTTTTTATAATTTTGAGGGTGAGAGAAAGAAAAAGAGAGAAGAGAGACTTTGTGACTAAAAAGCATGTTTGGTTTTGTTCCTAGTATTAAAATATATGGAAAAGGAGCTTTGAAGCAAAATGTCACAGCGAAATAAAAATGTATCCATTTAATTGTATGGTTATAATTAGGATGTGTTAACAGAGTCATCCCTTCAGTGCTCTGGAATCTCTTTGTGGGAGAGCAACTTCCGCTCTCTACTTAATCTGGCCTCATGGTCTGGCCTTCTTTATCAAATAGGGAAGGAGATCTGGGACCCACTCTTGGAGACAGCTACCCAGCGATGACTGACACGAAGCAGGGGGCCCACAGAACTTCTCTGCTCCATGTGGAGGGCTTTGACCAGCATTATCAGCCTCACTTGGGAGCTTCTTAGAAATGCTGAGTCTCAGGTTCTGCCCATACCCACTGTCGCATCTGAGTTGTGCACAGTGCCCTGGGTATTTGGTGTGCACATCACAAACTAAGGATCTCTTAGGGTACACCCTGGACACTCCGCTTACGTACTTTTCCACAGCGATTCTGCTTGGTTCTATCTAATGGGAAGGAATTTGTATTCACCCTGTAACCTAGCTTCTTACCGCAAGGCAGGTCCGTGGGCCAGGGCTGTTTTGCAAGGACAAAATGCAGCTTACTGGGGAAGCAAACCCCAACCCAGAACTGAACATGAAAACTACCAATGATATGTCATGCAAATGCTATGAGCAGGCTAGAAGAAAACTGTACTGCTCTTTAAAAGCATACCCCTACCCCACAAGGCAGACAACCCGCAACAAGCCGCAGCAAACATCCAGAGAGGCTCAAGATCTCCCATACCCTTTTCCCCTTCTCTGATTTCTCAGGCTGTTCCTTTAGGTATCCAATCAATTACTTCAGCAGCTCCTGCTGTTCAACACAGACACCAAGATGAATTCTTAGTAGTAAAAATAATAATAAAAGCAACTCATTTGGCCATACATATGGTGAAATGAAGAAAGAAGGCAGATTTAACAGAAACTAGATTTGAAAATAAGATCTAGTTTACGCATACAAGATAAAGTCAAATACCCCATAAGGCCAAAGTAGTTCTATATTCATCATTTTGCAGTGGTCCTTACCTGTGTAAATGAATCTGCCTGGTGTCCCTTTGCAGAACTGCTTGGATTTGTAGGACAGAGTGACTTCCACAACCCCAGGGATGTGCCGAGGAGGGGTCTGCACACGGATGGCATGAGGAGTAATCAACTGGAAGAGACATTGGGGGAAAAAAACTGTCATTGAAATATGTAAAGGGCTCATTTCACAGCTTTTCTATCAGCTCTCCATAAACAAAGCTTTAAAACACATAATTAATCTGTCAGTGTTTAAATGCAATCGTGATGGAACCTGTATAAAAGGCATTGACAACAATATTTACAAGTGCTCCGAGTACAGCCATAACAGCATTATCTGGGTTTTCCAACACGGCGGGCCCTCTGCTTCCTGGTTTGAAAAGGGAACCTGGCCTAATGACATGATTTATCTGCTACAGGATATCCTTTGGGAAAATCTCTGTTTGAAGCAGACACCCAAATCAGAGCCAAGTTTTGCCATGTCTCTCCGGAAGTTGATGGGCCTGGTATTTGATCTGAGCCCTTAAACATGTGGGAAATACAAAGGTAGGAACACAGTAGGCCAAGGCACTCTGATTAACTACAGAGCACACCTATGAAACAACCCTGAAGACCATTTGGTCCATTAACTACCAGAAGTACAATCAAAGAGCATTAGAGGGGAAACCAAAGAATCTGCCTCCCTGGAATAGCGTATGGATCTGGCAGCACGAAGGACTGTCCATAAAAGGGAAATGGGAGGTTGGGGAGGCTGCAGAATGACCACTGGCCCCTTATGCAAGGCCACGTGCACAATGAGAAAGTTCATTTCTGAACCCTCTTGGCAATCAGATTACACTGTGAAGCAGAATTTATTTTTTATTACTCTTATCTTTGTTTATATAACTAAAATGTTATTAATGGCCATAAAACTGGCATTATCTGGTTCTTTGAAAAATCCAGCCCTGGTATTTGACTGGTTGACCCCTGGCAGTGCTGAATTCTGCATGTTCTCTCTCTATGGGGTCTGCAATTGCCCACGCCTTGACTCCTTTCAGATGTACTTAACTCAACACTGTGGTACTAAGACTGCGGGCAGTGAATACTGTATACAGAACCTAGGAGTTTATGCTGACTTATGTCTGTGCAGCTCTCATGAGGATGAGTTAGAAAGAGCTTTTATTTTAATGTACAAACCAGGCCCAGTTCAAAGCGCTTTTCCTAAGACTTACAGGGGACGCTACAAGAAGTTGAAAGTTGAATACAATCCCTGAGTACCCCCTGGGTAAACTGCCCTAACACCAAATCTCGGGGAAAAAACTATGAGAAAGTTGCCCCTGGTAGACTCCACTCCAAAATAATTTCTGTCAAATGTTCCCTCCTGAAACAAAGAAAATTCCATCTGCATAAGAATCATTTTAACTCAGAAATTAGAAACACCTTTTCCTCTTTCACAGAATTGATGTGGCCTCTCAGCTTATTTGCTGAACATACACAAAAGATATTTCAGTAAGACTACGCTTATTCAGAATCCCTGGAGACTAAGTTCATCTCCATGGCTGAGTGTTTTGGATGACTAAGGGTTATCCATAAAGCACACAACAAATTTTTTTCTTAAAATTGCATCCTATACATACTGGAATTCTTCTAAAATGCATTGTATGTGCTCTAAAATAGGCAGTGTGTATAATTTGGCTTAGCCTTTGTAAATCAAGATCATCATTTGGAATACTTGTTTATTTTGGCATAATATACAAAAACCCTAAGTGACTACTGAGGTATGAAGGGCTATTTCTCCCTGCACTAAATGGCTCCAGATAGCTATGATTTTGAAATTATTTATATTTTTTTCTACTTGTCTTTTCTATTTTTCCTAGTGTTTTTTTGTACCTTCTAATCTGCACTTATAATCTGTAAGTATGGAAACCAGAAAATTAAGTTTAATGTTGTACAGAAAATAAGAGAAAAAAAAAAGGTTCTGAAGGACAACAAAAGGTAATCTTCCAAAATCTAGTGCATCTTAATCTCATGCATTATTGCAATATTGGCTACTAACACCTGTTGAATACCGAGGAGGTGTCTTCCACATTGCTAGGGATTTTACATATAAGAACTAATTTAATTTGGTCCAGAGCAATAACATAATTTTTAAAATAATTATTTATTTAATTGTATTGTTGTTGTTGTTATTATTCAATTTGACCAGAGAAAGAGAGAGAGAAAAAGTGAAAAAGCAAGCCACCAGCACAAGGACTTGAACCACACTCAGTTATGTGGGAGTCCAGAGCCTTAACCACCATGCCTCCTGGTGGCCACCAGCAATGACATATTTTTATCCCCATTTTTCTTCTTGAATACAACTTGTGGTGAAACTTTCCTAACATCAAGTCCTGGGGAAAGAATATGGGAAAGTTACTGCTGTTATAAGTCCATAAATAATTTCCGCCAAACATTCTTTCTGAAAACAAAATATAAAAATAATTTTAATGCAGAAATTAGAAACCTCTTATCTTCTTCCACAGAATTTATGGAATCACCGCAAAGTGATGTGAAAACAGAACCTTCAAACAGTTAAGTTATTTACGTAAGATAAGCCATATTTGAACAAGTTGGAGCAAAAGGTGATGCTGAAACAGGTCAACAGATGGCAAGAACGAATACTTCTAATCACAGAGAAGAAATGGTTCAACTTTTTAAAGGTAGCAATAGACCCCAATTTTTCAAAATTCAAAATCTATATCCATGTTATATCTATTTTTCATTTATTGCCTGGTCATTTCCTGTGTTTCTGATGGTGAAGGTTGCCATACTGTGATATTTCAAATAGAGTGTATATATCTATTTTTAAGATTACTGGGGATTTAAAGTATTAGGTCACGATATTACTTAGAAGAGCTATCAGTCCATTAGAAAACATTTCACTTGCCCTCCCTTTCCTGGGGGAAAATAAATATTAAAAAATGGAAAGATATTAGTAAATAAATGGAAGGAGAGCTCTTATGTCAAAGATGTACAGGCTTTATGAATTGATTAGATGTGACTTATAATGAAACTACTGACTCAGAATGGGATTTTAGCATAATGCAGTAAACCCAGGAAATTCAAACAAATTTTCATTTATAATTTCATTTTTGATTTTAATCAATTTCCCTGATAACACCTTCTTGAAACAACACTCCTTGACAAATGAGGGAGAATCTGAACTCTAATTAGAGAATGAATGTGCTGATGTTTTTCCTTGCTGTGGATGTTAGATTGGGAAGAGTCCCTATCACTGACACATGATATGAATGGCCTACAGAGGAAAGATGTTGTAGCTAACTTCTATACATTTGAAAGCACAGGCTTATTTACCAATCACTTAAAGAATCACTTAAAGAATCAATTGGCGTAATGGCTATGTTGCTGGACTCCTACGTAGTCGACTGCGGTTCGCATCCTGGACCCGGTGGCTTAAAACTCACGCCGGGCGCATGTGCGTGTGTGCCCAAGATCCCGAGAGGAGAATGAAGGAGAAGGGATTATGGTGTGACCATCCTTCCTGGGGGGTGATTTCTCACTTTCTGTCTCTGTCTCTCTCTGTCTGGCTGGCGAGCGCACGTACCCTATAGCGAAAAAACCTCTCCAAATAAAAAGAATCATAGAAATTATCTCTGGAAGGAATGTTCATTGCCATTTAAAGCTAATCCTCAGGACCAGCAGATGACATAATGGTTATGTCGCTGGACTCCCATGCAGTCAACCGTGGTTTGAGTCCTGGACCCAATGGCTTTAAACTAGCGCTGAGTGCACGTGCATGCGTGCCCAAAATCCCAAGAGGAGACTATCGAAGATTGGATTGCAGCATGGCCACACCCCTGGGGGATGATTTATCACTTTCTACCTCTCTGTTTCTCTCTGGTGAGTGCACACACCCTCTAGCAAAAATCTCTCTAAAAAATATAAATAATACATTTTTTTTAAAAAGTGAATCCTCTCATTTTAATAGCTAAAGACACAGAAGTCTAAAAATGTCTAGTAGCTTTGAAGACTGATCCAAGTTCCTAGAATAAAGTGGGAGTCTGGATTTGGAGGTCTATAGCCCGACTCCCAAATCCTATATGCTGTTCTGGCTTGGTTAAACTAAGGGCAACCACTATTCTAAGAAATGGAAAAGGAATTGACCAGTGTAAATTTTCCAGACTGCCATCCCTGAATATCACTTTCTCAATTTTGCCACATTTGATGATACCATCTATGCAAATATGTACTTAATATTTTTAATTGATTACCTTTTTGTTTAAAAGGCTTATTTTAAAAGGGAATTTTATATTGCTGCCTTAATTGAAAATTGATATACCTGCTCAAGTAAGAAGGTATTGTAGACAGTAATCTTATAGTTAATACAATGTTGTAAATTCTAGCTGGAACTGTTGACAACATGGAAGAGCTTATTGAAAAGGGTAATTACCTCGTGTTAGATGTTTAAAATTTGTTTGCCCCAACTGAGACTTTCTCCCATTAACATAAATCAGAATTACAGAGAAAAACAGAGATTAAAAGAGAAACAAAGAGTGATTAAAAGAGAAATAAAAAGAGAACAGTTTTCTTTCTATGCAATTCAGTTTTACTTAATGTCTGTGTCAAATCCAAAATTGTCTCCCACACTAAGTACCAAAGACACTTGCCTCAGTCTTAGGGAAATAGTTTGTTCTTTAAGAGATTAAAGAACAGAGTTACCCTTTGATTTAACGTCCTTAAATTACAAAGAAAATAATTTGGACTAGAAATAAATATTTTTCCTGAAACTCTGCAGCATCTGACAGTGCTTTCTTCCTTCTTGGAAATCTCCCTTTAATTGGTATGACACTAATTGTAAGACTTAAGACTTGCCAAGTATTTGATAATTTACCAAAGCACTTTCACCTTCACTGTTTTCTATGTATATGTGTTGTATGTATTCTGGATGAGAAAACCTGAGGGTCAGGAAAGTTATGAATATCATTTGAAACACCAGGAAGAAAACCAATGTCTTATGCTTGTGTTTTCTAGAGCCTTTCTCCTACTCATTGGTTTCTCATTATTTTGGTTTCCCTCATTTACTCCACTTTTCTTTTTAACTCCATATGTTATATAGAAATTTCACATGATTGTCCCAGTTTTTTCTCTTTTTAG